TCACTCGCCGTACTATCGATCGATTGGGCGCGTGGTGACGTCGCGCCAGCTGCCGACAGGATTAGTCCTCTATCCGACGAATCGGACGAGTCGAAAGGCCAGTCGACACGCTAACCGCTCAAGGACGCTATCTGATTGGCCTGATTGCAATCCGACCTTGTACATACACTTTGGCCTCAAATAATCATATGCATATGTATATGTACGTATATGCATATGTATGTGTATATGTGTATGTATATATATGAATATATTATATAATATATGTAATTATATGCCAGTAAACTTCTATTCTTTCACTCCTGATGTTGAATTCTCGTTTGGGGATTCGATCGAGGCCTTATTTGTCAAAGTTTTAACAAAGGATCCCTCAGAAGTGTACATATAAAAATTAACGAAGAACCCTTGTCTGAAAAGAGAATCCCATAAATCGGGAGTTCTTCAATGAAAATCTAGTAATAGGCAGAGATTAGACCTACCCATTGACAATGCCCGCAATCAGTATGAGGAACAGCGACGTCCAACGAAGAGGGCTGATTGGTCTGAAATGGCAAAAAGGACAGAAGGTTAAAGGCGATTAGACTGCGAGAGAAGCAATAAAGTCACAGCTGAATGAAAGGTAGAACCTGCCCTGTGGGAAAAGTTTAAGGCTGTACGTAGTGCCGTGTTCTAGGCGTTACCATAAATTCTCCTTGGAATATAGCACAGGCCCACCTGTCGCGCGGGCAGCCATTTTATCTGGGACACCTGTTGAAGCTATTGTAATTGTCTTGCGAAGTTTATTTATGTTCCCTGCGGGAACAGCCCCGTAAAAACGCTCACATACATAGAATTAATGCGACAGAGAGGCAGTCTGACAATGGGTGGACTCGGGTGCAATAACGCCGACTGACCGACGTTTGGCAAGGGCTCAGGAAACCGCCTTGGGCTCGTTCTGTGGTCTTCCCAAGGTGCACAAGGATCAGGTGTTGGTGTTCAAAGAAAGGCTCAACGCCGTCTTCCCGGAGATAATGCTTACGATAGAGGTGGGGAAAATAACCAGCTTTTTTAGTGTCCTTGTCTGCCGGAAAGCGACAACTACAACACAAGCATTTAACTGCAACAGCAACCAGCCCTTCAGCCACAAACGCACTTGCGTAAGGGCGCTATATCGGCGCGTTGAGACTCATTGCAGTGAAGCAAGGTTATCAAATTGCAATATCTTCGACGGAGGATCCAAGAAAATGGTTACTCCCGCGCAACTTCGGCGGCTAGTTACATACACAAACGGGATGAGCGACAAACTCGCAAAGACCGCGTGTAGTGGCGAGCCCTTCCGATCTCGAAGACCGTCAACCGCAACGAAAACCAATGGGTGTCCGGTAATGAAACCAAAATAGCCACTGCCAAGTCAAAAAATGTCTGGAAGCGTTTATCAGATCAGGCGCATTTGCGGGCAAAGCAAATACGTCGAAGTAACTTGAGGACTGCTCTGGATGCGATTTTCCGAACACGCAGTGCGGAGAAATGACGTCAATTCTCAAGTCCCGGCCCAACTCGGCCGCACATCCACGTTCGATGCAGTCAAAATCTGTTCTCATTGAACTTATAGAAAGTGATTAAACATAAGAGACTGAGTTATATCCCTTCAAATGGGAAGAGGTACCCTAATGGGGTCTTGTAGTAACTTTTGGATGGCCAGTACTGAGGAACTAAAATGGAGTCAAGTACATATATGTGCGAGCCCTATTCTTTTTATAAATCTAATCCATGAGAAACTCATCTGACTGGGTTTAAAAATTTTGCCATAATATATAATGTGCCAAACGCAGAGTCCCCAGAGAATTGAGAGCACTTACGCCCGATTGTATGCACCGAAACGCATTAAATATACCTACGAAAGAAGTCTGAATATGTTTTCTCAAATTGAACGATGAGAATTCGACTATCCCCTTCGGTGACGGACACCGCATGTTCCACGGCATGATGGTAGAGGGAGTGCCATTTGCGCGTAGTAGGCTTGCGCTGCATCTAACGCACCACCGAGAGCCGGTTTCATGACCAAAAAAGAAGCCCAGTCGAGCGCATTGGGCTGGCGCGACCGGAGCTGTACGGCAAGAATCTCACTGAATTGGGGCGACATGGGAACCAAATTAAGAAGGAAAGATCGCAGCCTGATACTTCGTCCATCAGTTGGCCACGTCACAGAAACACACACTGGGTTGGCTGTGCGGTCCCAGTTATCCCGTCAGTTGACAATCACTGTTTTTAGCGCACCGTCAGCTTGAACTGAATTGAATAAGGATGCAATATGGGTTTGTGTAGGAAGCATTCTCTTGCACCTTTACACGCGAAAACATGCGGCCTTTCCAAAAAGCACATCTCACGCTACTTCTTAGAAAGTACACTCCGGAAAAAATCGATGCACAGGGAGTGCACACTCAGTCGATTGAGTTACAATGTGTACTTATGCTGCATGGTAGCCCTTCGCAGAAACGATGCCGAAACGTTAAATGCATTGTGTGTTTGTAGTTTTTAGGATCGACAGTTGCGCCGGGTACCCAAAGACCTATCAAAACCCCGTCTTGCAAAAGCATAAACATATGCAAAACGTGCGAAGGAGAAAGCGGATGTTTTAAAATTCCCCTGGATAAATTTGCTATCCCAAAAACAATCACAGAGCACGTGATCTGCCGGAGGAGGCAATGCAGAAGGACCCCCCTCACCCCAACCTGTACATAGACGAAAAAAATAAGGTACGACGAGTTAAAAGTTTCAGCTGCGGAAGTCTCTTTAATGATGCATCGAAAGTGGGGGCTGGGTCGTGCCTGTGATTGAGGGTGTCGATAAAGACGGGACTAGTGTGAGTTGTTTGACCAGCCGGTCACCAAGTCCCTTCCAATTGAAGCGGAGTTATCTACCTGTCTGCCTGCTTGCTATAGCCTCCACTGCGGCTTCGTAGAAAAAGTCATCGAGACGAAATCAAATCGCATCAAGGATGCCTGGCCGTTCGGAAAATTGATACGGAATCAAAACTGCAACAGCCTCGTCCAATTGGAATAACTGCAGTGTTATGGTGACCGGAGTGTGTGTGTGTATGACGCAGGGATGCGGCACATGCTATTCGTGGCTGCAGTATCTACTTGTTCCACATGCACCCAACCCCACCTCCAGTCTATTCGACTCTGTCTTGACTTCGGGCACAGGTGAATGAGAGAATAGTGCGTGTGTGATAGCTACAGCGCAAGTCTACTTCCATTTTAAACTATTTCACACTCAAGTCACTATGTTTGCCCTCAGTCTGCTGAAGTACGCAGTGACCATCACCGGATTTCACAGTCAGCCACTTCTTTAAGTTCTGGCGCATTCCCCTAATTCTTCTGTGACCGTCAGCTGTTTGAACTACTGGCCTCTTACGTCGCTCATCGCAAGTCTGCGTGACAATTGTAAATTCTTATTGAACTGCGTTTCAGCGATCAGACCCTGCTGCACTGATGCTCGCGCTCTGGTCAATGCATAAGTAAATTGGTCAACGTGACTGCACGGTTGGCTTTTCCATGCTTATGCACCTTGGCCTACAACTGAGAA